CCTCCCTGTAACCTTGAAGCTCCATTCCAGAATCCTCCCCGCTCATGCCTTCCATCACAAAGGTTAGAAATTCTGCTTCAAATTTTCAATAATAGTAGGTCAGCAACAATTCTGAAAGACTCAGACAGGCCTCAGGGCACACATATGGTTTTTATATTATTTTGTTAAATGATGCTGTCATCTAAAATCATTATAGTTCAGGAGTTCTCTGGAAGCTTTAAGTTGAGAAGAATGGGTTTCATGGAAAAGCAGTAATTAAAAACCTGCATAGTGACATCCACTTCCTTAGGTTTAGCTTTGATTGACAGGAATAGACCACATCAGAGAAATGTGTAGCTCAGTAAAACATGTAACCTTGGCTGAAAATATTTTTTTTCCTCTAGCTTCCTTTATTTTATTTGTACAATTTATTTAATCTTCACAGGCTCAAGGCAGTTTATAGATACTAAAATAGCAATAAAATAAAATTACAAAAACTTCAATTAGTACAAAAATGTCAACAATTAGAACTACTATCAAATAATAAGAAAAATATATACATATATTTATATGTACATGTAGGTGCCTGCAGCTTTATAATCAGTCCCCAAAGGCCTTCCAGGAAAGTCAGATTTTTACTAACTTCCAGAAGGCCATAAGGGGAGCCATCCTCACCTCTGATAGCAAGCTGTTCCAAAGGGGGGATGCATGCATACTTCCTGGTAAAGAGGGGCGTTTAGTAGGCACTCTCTGGGCATTTGGGAATGGAGGTCTCTTAGATACTGAGGCTATGAGCCTTATAGGGCTTTAAAGGGTTTTTTTGTGCGAAGACTAGCAGAGTATATCCATGAACACTAACTAGCAGTCAGAAGACATGATGAAAACTCCTTAATTTCATAACGCATAGACAGTTTGGGAAGCTGTCAGCATCTTAGACCAACCAAAATAAAAAAATGCTTGGGAATTCCTGGAAGCTTGGCATTCAGACAAATCAGCCATTAACAGATACATACAGATAAACCACATTTGCACACCATTCAAAAGAGACAATAAAAAAGCTAAGAAGGAAACAAAAAAACCCAAAACGGATCCTCTCCAGCAGCCGACACCCAGATAAAGCTAAACCACATTTGCACACCATTCAAAAGAGACAATAAAAAAGCTAAGAAGGAAACAAAAAAACCCAAAACGGATCCTCTCCAGCAGCCGACACCCAGATAAAGCTAAACCACATTTGCACACCATTCAAAAGAGACAATAAAAAAGCTAAGAAGGAAACAAAAAAACCCAAAACGGATCCTCTCCAGCAGCCGACACCCAGATAAAGCAGGGATTAACACCAGACAAACAATCAGGCAGAAAACAATACCCTAATTAAGGAGCTACCAAGGAGAAAACAACACCCCGACCAAAACTGGCAGGGCAAGCTACTGCATATAAACAGGGAGCAAACCCCACACTTACTTGCACTGATGATGTTACGTAGTTGGGTAATAAAACATCTGCAAACAAATAACCAAGCTCAGAGAGCACCAAGGACTCCACAAACTAAATACAATAAAGTGAATCCAAGGTAGCATCTATTCTGCAAATAACTTGTTTGCTGTTAGTATATTTGCGGACTGCAACTGGGCAAATTGTTGGAAAGGATGTTCACATTATTTTTCCTTTACTTGCTGTTAAGTATTTTGATTGAAAAGCTGACACTGATCAGTACTGGGAAATTGTATCAGTAGTGATTAAAACTGTACTGTACTGTAATTAATTATTACATTAATCAATTAATTAATTTGATTAATTCATACAATCAAGTAATTGGTGATGCAGCAAAAGAATTATAAGCGTGAATGCATGGCTCTGAATTGTCAAATCTTCTTGTATGCAGTAATTACAAAAAAAAAGCCTACAGTAATTCTAAATTTGCTGCTAGCATTACCTTACTTTTCAGTGGATATTTTTATTGTTATTGTTTTTTATTGTTATTGTTTATTTGTTTTACTCTTCAAGATTCTAGTTTGGTGTGCTTTCTTGCTTTTGAACATGAAGCTTCCAGAAAAATCACATAGTAATATTTCAAATTTCTCTTCCTTCCCCCAAGCTCTCATCAGTCAGCAAGACTTTTTAAAAGATTTATTAAGTAAATACTTTTGTAAATGATATGAAAGCTTAGAGCCTGAATTTGCCTGACTTCCTGTTTTCTTCTTAGCAATCTTTCCTTTGTATCATGTACCTAAGATTATAACTATATAAGATGCATCAATATTTACTGACAGATGTCTGCAAAGACTGAACTCAAGAAAAACCGAGATACAGCATTTGAGCAACTGAGAAGTTTTACATACTCTGTAAAGTTTATTGAGAGAGACAACTATGAAGTGGACAGAATGCTCTTTATTTTGAATGCAGAAAATGCCCGGTTAAGAGCAGTAAGTATTTTGAGAGGGGGTAGTTTGTCATGTCAACTTCAAGTCTGGCAACATCTTTACAAATGACATTTCTTTGGTGGCTGCAGAGAATAGGAAGGCATTGTAAAAATGCCATTTTGTACTCATTACTGGCTTTTAATGGTTTGGATTATGTAAGAAAAATGTGTATTTTGCATGTAGCTGCCAAGCTGGGAAACATTGGCTAAATTGACATTATGGTATTTGCTGTCAATGAATCAGGGAAATGAAAGGCACTGTCTTTCCTGAGTGTTAATTTACACTGACTGTCTCTAAAGGAAGCCAGTTTTATGGAGGGTGTGCTAAATCTTACTGAATCATACCTTCATGTGATTGACTTTTAAAATTCATATGCTGTGTGCATATTATGGTACCACTGTCTCCTGAATTATAAACCTTTTCTTTTTTCTTAATGTACATGCCTACCGCTTTAGGTATGCATGTTACACATCTAACAATCTATGCTCTTTGTTCCAAGTAAATGAATTCTACAATCTGTGAATTTTGAAAATGTCATGTGATCATCATTTGTTTAGTATTTGATGCATGTTTACTTTGTGGGAACGTTTTGAATCAGATTTCTAAAACTTACTGATTCCATGTAAAGCCTGAAACTCTGCAGGCATTGCTCACTAGAGGGGACAGGAGGGGCAAAAGGACAGCTTCTGTATCAAAAAGGAGCTATGGATTGCATATGATTTTCAGCATATTTTGCCCAGGAGGTATGTAGACAGGCCAGGATATGTGGAATAGTGGATAGGATAGGGGAGTAGTGGAGAGCTGTCATTTCTACTCCAACTTTCTTCTGCAAATCACTGGCTTTGTTCAGAATAATCCCTGTTAAATGTTATGCTGATCCCTATAGAGAAATGGAGCATTGCTGTTTGGTTATAATTATTTAATAATCTGGCCTGAAGATTACAGGAAGTGTCTGGGTAAAACAGAAAGGGCAGACATCCACCTCAGATGTATGTAGAGATGGGTAAAAGAAGAGTAAAATGGGCTTGTCTTTTGCAAGAATAGAATAAAAGCATAGAGTAATTGGGAGGTGGTGGAAAAGATAAAAAGAAAAATGAGGATTAGATGGAAATGAAATATGTCCAGAGAGTATAATCAAAAGAAAATGAGGATTGGTAGGCAATCCTTAGGAAAATGGGAAGCGGTGTGAAGGCAAGATCACAAGAGAGTAATGAGTGCGAAGGGCTCTTCCAGCAATCACTTTGACCAAATCATGTTGTTTTAAGAATTATAGCTTTAAGAACAGGTGCCAGATATGCTGTGGCAGCACCCAGCTAATCTTGGCTGATCTCAGAAAAGCTAAAAAAAAAAAAAAAAAGCTTGGTCTTCATTACAGATTTAGACTACACTAGGAAGTTGAAAAAAACATCCTGGAAGAAGGCAGTGGCAAGCCATCTCCATATTATTGCCAGGAAAACATAGCCAGTGCAGGTAGTTGCCAGTAATTGAGTTTGACTTGAGATTTTTTTTATCCTGATTTGCTTGCTTTGCTTCAACCTCCCCCATTCTTATTCACTACACAACAGGTATTTTTAAATTAGAAGCTGCAGAAAAGGTTTCTCAGTATTTTGTACTTAGGAAATGCTAAGCACCAATAGCTTCTACATGAATGTTTTAGTTTTTTTTTTCCCCTGTGTCCTTTTAGGGCATTGCATATCTCAAAGAAGATATTTCCACAATAGCCAATGAGGCAAAGCTCTATCAGTCAAAGAGACAACAAATCCAGCTGGATAAAAAAGTTCTTTATGGTGAGTGTTATGTGGCAAGAATTTCCACTCCAGGTGCAATTGTTAAAAAAAAGCTTGCTGAAAAAATGAATTAAAAAAAATATTCACAGCAATAGAGATGTATATTTGGCTTGCCTCAGAAAATGCTAGGGTATGGCTTCATGACTGTCTTTCCTAAGTTCGATAGAGGTTCAGCCCTTATACCAACAGCACTTTAGCCAGAAGATGGAGCAGAGGAAAATGGACACACTGCATACATGACCAGTGGCACATGGTTGCCAGCACTGTGGCATCCCCTTTTCTTTTCTTCCTGGGATATAATGGTTCCTTAATGGGTATCTTGCATTAGCAGAAAGAAACGTGGAAAGAAGAAGAAACTTAATGAACAATACAGGGTCTACATACACATATGCTCATATCGGACTGTATATGTATTATTAATTTATATACAGTGTATGAAACATTTTGAAACAGACTCAAAAGATATCTGCAGAATTTTTAATAAACATAGCATGTACAGTATATTAGGCCATCTTGATAGGAGTCTCTAACAAAACTTAGGAATATTTCCAAAGAAGAAGGATATTTCATACCAGATGTCAATATCTGATTAAACATCTAGTGGGTTTAACTATACCATTAAGTCTATCCTAGTTATGAAGATTACTTTTATTATCATGGTTGTTCTTCAAATAATGATTTATACTGAATGCCTTAATGGACTCTCAAAGAAAAAAGATAGCATTGAAAATTATTTTCCTGTGGGAATGAGTGACAGATGTTAAAAAGGAACTGAAGTTACGGTTCCTCATGGTGTCATCAGTCACTTAGAACAAACCCTTCTTCTAGCTGCACTTTAAGCAATTAGGTGTCTTTCTATAGACTTTGCTATCATTTAACAGAGTTAAACACAGTTTAATTTGCATTTTAGAAATTCTGAATGTCCTACATGTTTAATAAATGTAGTTTAAAAATGTCATTTAATGTTATTGCATATTTAAATATATTGTTTATCCCTTTTAAAATGTATATTGTCACCAATTTTCATTTATACTATAAAATTCCTTTTTTAGAACTGTTCATCCAGAAATGGATAAAGGATGGACATCTACAAAAGGTATGCTATGGGATTATTACAAAAAAAATGGGGAAAACTATTTAAAAAATAGGGTTCACTGAGAATTTCTCCTTTACCAGCTCCCAGGAAAGAAAAGGTAAATCTGCTACTGTTATTTCAATAGAGCTTACACCCAACTTCAGTATATTGCAGTATATTGCAGATTTTCAGAATTAAAAGGGAAACAAAAGCAAATAAAATGTTGGATATTAATCTTGCAAGAAGCATTGCATATAGCTGTTTTGGTCACTTTGATTTTGAAGACAGTGTTAAATAAAACTGCCTTTGTATATGTAAACAAGGTCGAATATATGCCAATTACCTACACAGTGAATTAGATCTGGCAAGCAAGACAACTTTTACACTGCAAGAGAGATGAGTCCTCTGCACAGTTCAGATTACACATGGAGGCAAATTGGGATTATTTTTCTAGTTCTGTCACCTGAAGTTGAATATAATTTCTGGTTAACATACTTTTTTTGGCTAATGTGTGGCTTTATGAAAGGCAACCAGGAAGATGTGTCATATAATCCCAGGTTAGATTAAAACCACAGTCCCATTTCTGTGGGACTGCATGTACTTAGTGTCAAGCATGCAAAACAATTTATATTAAAAAAAAAAAAAAGAGCCATAGTTCCCTTCAAATGGCTACCTGTCACACGTGATTACAAAAGTGAATGTCTAGTTGATAACTAGCATAAACTAGGGCTAGAATACCATTTGAATGGAGAAAAAAACAGTAAAAATTTAATTCTGCCAATTTGGTAGCTGCTGCTTGTTACATATCCTGTTGCTATCCATGATAGCAAGAAAAATAATGGCTTCTTTTCTCCCCAGTGTGGCTTTGCTGGGATTCAGCCTACGACTATTATTTAAGAACAAGCCATTTATGAGACCTGCTTTCTATTCTTAACAGCCTTCTACTTCTTAACAGATGAGCCCAAAAATAGAAGGCTCTCTTCACTATCCTAAGATTTGGATCTCATAGCATTTTAAATTTAAGGAATCATCATAGCTATACTTCTCCCACTATGTTAAATTTACTTCCTTTCTCTCCTCCTCCCACAGCATAAAGTTCATGTTAAACATTTTAGAAGAGTCCAGGCATGTTTTTAAAAAGTGAAGAAAATCCAGGTTGCCTTTTTGCAGTAGAAAATGTGTTTTCTTATTGTTTCCATCCCACTGCAGATGTTTTTTAAGTACCAGCATGAACTACTGGTTATTCTGGAAGAATATATCAGAAGAAATAGAAAGAGAAATGTTAAGCTTGACTATGTTCATGAAGGGCTACAGCTAAACTATGAGAATATGGAGTCTCTGTTAAAAAGCAAATCTGTGCCGGATGCTGACAAAGTAAGCTGTTCCTTTTGAGGAAGTGCCAGATGTTTGTTAATGATATGTGTTGAAAAAGCAAAATTACTTTCTTCAAAATAGATTCTTCATAGCTTGAATATGTTACATACAAAGTACCAGGAAAAAGGGTCTAACTCTACCAATTTTAGAATGGCAGAAACTAGTTTTCCTAGCACAGTCTTTTTGTGTTAGGACAAATATCATGTCCTTTATTGCTACATTTAGAAAGGAACACAAAGCATGCAGATTGATTGCTGCTAAATATTTTTAAAATCATCTACCTGACCAGTGAAACTTCTCTGCTGCTCCATCTTTAAAGGAAAAAGGTAGGGTAAAGGTCCAATCATGGGGAAAAGTTAGGTTGTTTTCCCCACAATGCAAACTCTGGAAATCCCAACAGCTGCATAAATGGCTGTTTTGTGGCCTTTGCAGAGTTTCTTCTGACTGAAGAAATTTTGAAGCAAGAAATGCAGTTAAAAAAAAAAAAAGAATAAAAGAATGGGGAGAAAAAAAACCCTCTTACTTATATAAAAAAGCTGGGCTCTATTTATATCCTATTGCTCCAGCCATTGCAATTCGTAAAGATAAAGATGCCTTTGACTTCTGGCAATTTTATCCATGCAGTTTTCTGAACTGTACTGTGTGGAAATGCTTCCTCTGGGATTTTTTTTTTTTTTACTTCCTAGTTTACTCAATAGCTCTGGGATTTCCTGATGTCTCTCATCCAAATACTAATTAGGTCAAACTCTGCTTAGCTTTTTTTTTTTCTCCCAAATTAAGGGTAGCCCCTCTAAACAAAAAGTGTGCTTACTTCTGCCTTAGAGCAATATATTTAACTTAAAGTCTGTCGTAGATACTCAGTTACATTTCTGAAATACGTATCTTAAAGTAGCTGCTTACAGGAAGCCAATCATATTCCAAGTTATAAAGATTTTATTTAAAAAGAAGGAAAAAGATAAGAGACAAACTGCTTTAACCACTAGGCAGCCTAAAATCTGAGTAAATTATCAGTTCCACTTACATGCCTAGAATCTGCATGGAGTTCCAAGATCTTTTTATCATTTTGAAATCATTTTCTATAGCTGAAAATAATCCTAAAATGTTTGGTTCAGTGGTGGCAGACAAATAGTCTCTTTCCTGATTATTATACTTGATAGTTTAATATCTAAGTAAAAAGTGCTTGTGGATTTAAACATAAGAATGTGCTAACTGAGTCTCAGATGAAGGAGCCTACAATCCATAACAAAATGTTAAAGAGTTATGCAGTCTGTACAGCCCTTTCAAACAGATACTTTATTTATTCTTTCATTTGTCAAATTTATAGGCTGCCCAACTTCGGAACAACTCTGAACAGCTTCAGAAAATTAAAAACACAATGTTATACATAAAGCAACACACAACATAATATAAAATCCAACTGGCATATGAAGCACATAACATACCTACATTATTCACAACTAGAAGGGGGCCCACACAAACTGGCCTGGGGAAAAAACAGGCTTTTAAAGATCACCCAAAGGCAGGCATTTGTTTGGAGGCCATAACTGAGTTCTGGTGTTCCTTTCAAGTACAAATGGAAATTCTGTCAAAGTGTTTGTTGCAAGAGAGGGAGGGATGTTTCATTGCCACTTCCAAACTTGAAATAATTCAACAAAAAATATCTTAATGCAGATCAAATATTCATAATTTCTATCTCATGATAGAATGCTCATTCAGATAAAACTGTTTGTAAAACTATGCTCTGTCAAATCTTTTCTCTAGGACAAAACAGACTACAAGGCCAACTGAAGCTAGAATACTGAAACTTTTATTCTTCTATGAATACAGATTCGAAGATGTGAGAAAATACTGCACTATGAAATCAATAAATAACACTGTTTTCAAAGATGCTGTACAAATTATTCACACATAACAGCCAAATATAAAACATGTATACAGAACAAGCCTAGAGACTTAACAGCTAAAATCAATGGGGTCCTTGGCTTCTGCAGCCAATGAAAGAGTCTTAAGGCATTACACATGCTGAGTATTGTTTAGAAAATTTGCCTTCTAGTTGGTACAGAGGTGACGTTTTGATCCTCAAAAGAAGAAAAACTTGACTTGAAAGATGATCCATAGCAAACTAACAACTAAGGTCAGGACAGCTGGATCCAAGAAGACTGACACTCTTTTGGAATATGCTACTTACCCAGACTGTTATTAGTTATAATTAACGTCCATTTGCGCCCTCAGATAATATCCGGGAAGGCTCAGTGTATTTTGCAGTTAGCAAATAAAAAAGAGCTGGTGCAGGCACCAAGGCCAACAAAGGCAAGTCCTGATAAACGTTGCTCAGCTTCGAAATGGAGATAATTCCGTAGGCATGCAGCAGCCAATGGCTAAACAGAACAATAAGCCTTTTCTTCCTGACAAGCAGATCTTTGAAAGTCTTGTAAAATGGAAGACAAGATATTTCCATTAGTTTCTATTTTTATAGTAATCTAGTTATAGATACAACTGGAACATGAGATTCAGGGATTCTGCTGGACTAACTTTTCCATCTTGATGACAAACTACATCTCAGTTATGCTCCCAACCTAATGTCTGACTAGCTTGCTTTTAGAAAGGGCGGACTCCATCACGCAGGAAGTCACGGTATAGGAATGTAAACTGATCAATTAGAATCTCTAAAGGAACCAAGTCAGCAAAAAGCTTTAACTTTGTTTAGGGATCTTGATTATACTTGAGTGCACAATCTTCCTTAGCACAACAGGCTGAGAGATCACATTCTCGAGGACTGTCTGTATAAATGTTAAAGGCTTCATTAAACTGTGGGCTCTAATAGCAGATTTTTTTTCCTAGTCAGTGCTGACACAGCAAGGTATCCAACAACTTCATGAAAACCAAGGCTGCTGAACAGAAAGGGAATTCCTGTTCAATAGCTCCAGCAGATTCAGTGATTCATTTCTTCTCAGTGCATATAAGATACTAAACCAATCAGCCCCCAGAACCTCATAGGCTATTGACAGTTAATAATTCTGCTAAGATATAGCTCAGATAGCCAATTATTTGTTTGTAGTTATACAGATTTGTTTCTGATTCAAATTGTTTGTTTTTTAAACATGAAAATACATTTTAAAAGATGCAGTGATTTACTTACTTCTACTTCAGAAGCTGATAGATATACCACCAGGGTAACAAGAGATAACACTATGATGATATATGGGAAAGCATAATCTGGAAAAAAAGAGGGTTCTGTTATACTCATTTTTACCACATCAGTTAAGCAGAACAGATATGTTAGCAATTATTTTTCAAAACACTACTCTCACTATAGTCAAGAAGAAATCCTACTGGATTCAGTGGAACTGCCCTCAATAAAGTACACTGGACATTATATTTTGTTACAAAGAAAAGCACTCATAAGGCCAAATGGTCCTCATTTTGTTGCTCACAAAATAGTCTGATGTAATTCCTATCCTCTGATTTAAGAGTTTCAGGAAGACAAGCTCTAACCTCAGTATTTAAAAACTTTCTCCATGTTTTTAGAATGCAGTGAAGTTCCGAATCTGCCTACCAGTAACACATTTACTGAGTATCTTATAAATATGACCTGGTTTACACATTGTGCTAAACCCTACCATGGTTTGTTTGGTTTTGATTTAATCTGTGGTGGGAACCCAGACAACTCTAGCTTACTATGATGTGTGAACTCAGTCACTATTTTTTTTTTAAACGTGTTTGTGTCCTGCCACTTCTATGACGGGCTGTGAGTTTTGTACGGGAGGGAATATAAAACAACTTACAGAGCAAGCCACCTCCAACGGCCTGAAGCACAGTCAGAATTGGGAAGAAGTAAAGAGCTGCATAAATGCTCTTAAATCTATCTGACTTTCCCAGCCCACAAGCAATCTTCTTTACCAGCAGAGGACGAAGCATCATCATCAACACTAAACAGAAGGCATAGTATATGAATACAATGGTGTAGCTGAAAGAGAGGATGACCAAAATTAGCACACTGTGACCTAAAGTTCCTAGAACTTAATAGCTGTATAACAAAATCACTGACAATTTATTTCTTTTCAAACTGCGTCTATAAGACAGTGAACCGGTCTGTCCTAAAAGCTACCATGTTGTCCATTTCAGCAGCTTTCTAGGTGTTTCCTATAGCATTATATCAATTCTGTGCTTTCATACTACAGACAGGCTTGCGATCCATAGGGAAATCAAAGTTCTTGGTACTGTCGCATCTTCTTGTCTCCTTGATTTCAGCATGGGAAAGGAATCTCTATTGTATTCCAGCACACTTGCTTCTTAATCCTATTCCCATTTTCCTTAAGTGCCAAGTCTAAGCAGATGAGGATGGATGGCAATTTTGCCACCCCAATTATTACCACAAACCAAATATGGCCTGACATCCACATTATCCAAAGGATCCATATGAGAGGCATCAGTTACTGTTGAAGTAGCAGGTACAGACACGCAGCTGTCATAATTTATATAACATGAGAAAGGGTCATTGTGAAAGTGAACAATGAACTTAAATTGGCTGTTTCCAAACTTAAAATTTTCTTTCTCCACTTTCTCATGTCTGATCACTGCAGTTTTCTAAATTTGGATAATAGCTCTCACTGTGAAGCCAGTTCATAGGTCATGATATCTCAGAGTTTTTCAGACACCTGGGTTATCATGATCAAGCGAGGTTCTGTTTATGAGCAGGAACAGTTCAACAAAGCAGAAAAGTACTGTTTGCAGTTTAATCAGTAATACTGTATACCTGAATTAATATATAAAAGTACCCACTTTGCATGGAAAAAGTATGCCATGAAAATTCCTGCCTGAATCTCTAGAGAGCGGCTGACAGTCAATAGCTTATGTTTGTACAATGCACTTTATGCAAACGTCACAACCCAATCAGCAGTAGGGTGGGGATGGAGGGTTAATTTCAGCCCCAAATAGCCATCTCTTTGGGGGAAATTACTTCAGAGATGGGACAATGCCAGGTGACACAATGAATGTGTGCTGGTGTTTCACTTCTATACTTCTGTGTTGCTAAATTAAACCAATTCTGTGGTTGTTGTTAAATGAACTGTCTCCTGTCAGCTGTATCATGCAAACATGGAAGAGAGCCTTAACTTTCACTTCTCGCTGCAACGAAGGTATGGGATCCTAGAGCAGCCTTTCAAAATGAAGCTTTTCTAGGAATGCCTTTTTGTTTCACTTTTAGCTCCCAGCAAGCACATGGAGGGTGTGATTGATAAGCAGAACAAGTAAGGAACAAGAATGGGTATTGTTCCCTTGACCCTGTTATGGCAGCTGCAATTCCAATCACGTCACTATAAATGTTAAACAAAAGTACTGCCACAAAAGATATGTAGTGCATTGTTTGTAATTAAAGTTATTTTTTAAAATAGGCTTATGTTTGTCCCTTTCCCTGGCACCAGATATTACATTGCAAATCAGCCACAGTAGTGACAATAGTTAAAGCTGAAAACCAATACTCGCTTTACTTAGAAATACTGTAAACCACACTTAACCCCAAAAAGTTTACTTCTGAATAGATAATCTTAAAATTGAATTACATGGCTGTTACAATGAAAAGGTGTTGACTTTTGTTCAAAGTATCAGAAGACTAGCAGACTTTCTTTGAGAACTGCCATTAAAGCACATTGTTTGGGACAGTTAAAACAGGTTACAAGGCATGCACTCACAGAGGATAGACAGCTTCATGGGTACAGTGAATTGTGGTGACGTAATCAGGACTTGGATTGTAAAGCATTGTATACCAGTCAGAAAGCATCATCACTTTGCACGAACGGATGTGCAGAGAGCCCATGGGGTCACTTACAAGGAGGGTAACAATTGCTGCCACACTGCACTCAATTAAAGCAGTGATGTGCTGGAAAAGAGCACTGGAGCTACGGAGAAAAGATAGAATAAAATTAGTACTGAAACAAGACAGCTGAGTACCATCAAACATTCATTTTCTCATTGCTGTTAGAGAGTGTTCCAGAACCTTCAAGATGACATCTCTCTCGTAAGCAGCAGGCTAGATCTAGGAATATTTTCTCCATATGAAGGAAGCACTTTGACCTTCCAGACTTATCCTGCTTAATTGTAGAGGTTTGGAGGTTGAATTAACTTTTTACAAATCTCTCATTAATATTTTCAAAAATAAGAGCTTTTAATACCAAATTTACCTAGCATCTTATCAATACATGCATATAAAAATAACTAGATTGTAAATTTGTGTAAATTCACACATTAGAATAATAGTACCAGCAGGTGGCAGCACCTAGGAGAACTAGTCTGGGCTTGGAAACTAAGCTGAATTAGGCCAGGCTACAACTTGGATGGGAGACTTACAGAATCCCAGGACTGTAGGCTAGAGTGAAAAGTTGAAAACTTCCTGGGGAAAAAATTCTATGGCAAACTACTTCTGCAGTGTTGCCAAGAAAACTATACAACTGTGTTTTCATAATAAGTGAGCTGAACTAAAATGTCTTTGTATTTTTATTACAGTACTAAATTTACATTTCAGAAGGTGATGGGAATATACACCTATCTCTATAAATAACTGATTTTTTTACATATTCAATTGAGAAGTTGAATGTATTTTTAAGTTAAATATTTATTGTTATGCTAAAACCTTATCTTGTTTTAATAAATATTTACCTCTTTTTCCCTGAATACCATTCAATGAAGAACCAATGCAGAATGAGAGGTAGCATTGCCATAAAGCCAAGATAAAGCCAATCATAGTGTTCTGGAGACCCCATACATTCCCGGCAGATTTTATAGGCATCACTTCTTTGTCCTCTGGGACATACCTGGAAAGTTTTATCATAATTCATTTTATAAAGCCTTTACTTAATTTATTTAAAATGTATATCTAGTTTTCCTCTCTGTTTGATTATTTACAGCCTATCCATATCAACAGATATATCCAATCAGGTTATATTTACAATCTGAGATACAATCGCTGAGATCCAAAGGCTTGAGCAAATGAAGAAGTCTTCTCTTGGTGTCAAAGGGACACTCCTGTTGGCAACACACTGACCTTCCAGAGTGGGACATTTTAGTACTAGAATGCAATAGTTACAAAACCTTTCTCTTTTGCCTCCACGTAATGTGCTGTTCTCAATGGAGAAACCAGAGGAAAAAATTCCTTTGGCAGAGTTATGACAGGCAGATTATAAACAGTGAATACTTCCTCAAATATTGTGGCTACTCACTACCTTTGACCCTTAGTTCTCTGGGGTGCTAACAATAATTAAAACCTATAAAAGCAATTCAGGCCAGGCGTTCAGCCCAACTTTTTACCTAGCCATGTCCAATAACAGTTACAAAATGCAACACAGCCTTGTTTTAAATATTCTAAAAAATTTCCGGAACTGTAACTTACCCCACAATCACCATGAATTTCAGTTCCATTTATAATTTCCACTGTTCTTCCACAGTAAAGTCCAAGGCAGTCTGGCTGAATATCTACAGCTTACACAAAAAACAGTGAATAAGTTTTGAATCTTTATATAATTCTTTTACCTATAAAATCTCACCTGATTTTATGCAATCCTCCATATACCATGGTCATTACTAGATTGGTCCACAGAAATTACACTCTACCAGCCATCATAGTTTGGTCATCCAAGGCTTTCATATACAGCAATGCTTTTTAGTAAGCTAGAAAAGGCATAGACTAGGATAACATCTTTAGCTGAGCCTGTGCCACATGTAGCATTCCCTGCTAACAGTAAGGACAATACTGGTCAATTTAGCAGATTTTGGCCCAAATGCAACAAGCTCAACCAAAGAGCTCAATTACCCCATGCAGGGAGTTCTATTAATTCCCTGGTCCCAGTTCCTGAGAGAAAAGCCAGGTCTTCACAGCCTTCCAGAAGGCCAGCAGGGTTGGGGATGCCTATATCTTGGGGTGAGACTGTTCCACAAGACAGACACCAGAACAAAGAAAACAAACTACCTAGGGCCCATCAAATGACACAGCTTCACTGATGGGATACCCACTCTGCCCTATCTGATGGGACATGCAGAAACCAACTGGGAGAAGAAGTGTCATATGTAACCTGGCCCCATGTAGGGTGACAACCAGCACCTTGAACTGCAGCCAGAAGCCTACTGGGAGCCAGTGCACTAAGACATTTGGATCTAAAAATCAATGTTTCAAAGACAAGATAGTGAACAACTGCACATTATAAATGAATGGCAAAAAAACTAGAGAAGTAGATGTATTTGTTATCATGATGGAATGTATGTCAAAGATGAAAAAATGAATGAAGTTTTAAGACATGCAAATTTTTGTAGAAAAGTAGAGGGTAATATATGATATGGTGCAGGGAATAAATGCATGAATGTTTGTCAGAAGAAACCAAAATAGCTGTGTATGGGAGTTTGATTCTGCCTTCTTTAGTATAGCGAAATGAATGCTGAGTATATCATAAGAAGCAGAAAAATAAATTGAATGCAGTGGGAATGGGATACTTAGAACCTATGTGTAGCGATACCAAAAGATACACAGTTAATAAAATAAAGATAGGCAAAGCAAATATAAGAAGAGTTAATGGGTCAAGAGAAAGGAGGAGAAAGTCATGGTTGGATGCAGTTATGAGATCCTCAAAAAGAGAAAGGTGAGAAGTTTAAAGAACAAAAGAGAATGCATGAAGTAATGCATGGATGTAGTGGAAGCAAGGATGGTTTGCAAAGATAGACTGGTAGAGAAAGATATATATTTATATTGCCTTTTCTTTCATTTTCATTTTAATCTTTTAATTTCTTTGGCTTATTATTTCTTACCTTCAGTCTGGACTTTGCTTAATGTTGCTCAGCCCAAAAGGGAGCATTATGATGGGATCTATGCATTTTCTTATTTTACTAGTTTTATGTTAACCTTTGCCCTTAACTCACACAATGTTCAAGTACACACAGTACCTGTAAATAGAATCCCATTCTAATTATAAAGAACCGAGAAAGAGAAAAAAACTACAAAAAGCCCTGGAATAATGACAAAATTTAAGGAAAGAGAGAGAGGTAGCAGAACCAGAAAATTATACATGTTGTACCATAAACATACATGAGACATCTGAGAGAACGGGATTGACAATGACATCTCTCTTGCCTCTTGCATACATTTAACATAATTTGTTAAATAACTGATTCATGAAATATATGTACGTGGCTTTTTTCACAGCCCATAACAGATACACAAAGAAAGCCAATTCCTTTCCCCATGTGCACTGATTTGCCCTAATGATCTAGCTTTTATTACTGTTGGTCGTGAAGGACCTGCTTTTATATATTTATACCAAGCAGATATACAGCTTCTTCAAATTTTGAACGGCATTTTGGCTCCATTATTTTTAAAAATATTCTGTGTAACGTGGCTGAAGACTCAATCGCGTGTAAAAATAAGAAAGCTGTTTAGGGCGCTTTCCTCGGTGGTCGTGCAACAGACCCTTTTCTGTAGGGCGATCTTCTCTAGGGTTGTTGGGAAGGCTGCTCGGGATCCAACCCTGCCCTCTGTCAACTGAGGGAGTGAGTCGCGTTCAAACCAACCGTATAAGCTACAAACAAACCCGGTGCTATTGTTCCTAATAAACTGGTGTGCGTGGCCCGTCGGGCTACAGGGACTATTAACACTGGCCACAACCACAGCGAGACCTTTTCCCCCAACTCAAACTCACCCATCTTGTTCCAGTCCGGCTGCCACGGAAGGGCGACAAAAACTCGGGATTTTGACAGCACTCAAATATCCAGCCAATCAGCTCTCGACTCAGGTGCCGCAATCCCTCGCTGATTCGATTGTCTGCTTGCCCTTAAGTGGGTGGGGGAGCCAAACCCACAAACTGTTATTTGTGTTCCGCCTCCCAGGTTGGGTGACGATGTTCACTTCCGGCGTTGGAGGAACTTAACCCTGGAGGAAGGAAATGCCGAGCGAAGAGGCAGGGTTCTTTTTGTCCGTAGAGATAGAAATAATGAAGACACACTTCCTTAAATTTCTGAATTGATGGGAAATCAACATCAGCCAATTTCTCTATACAGGATATGTAAAATTTAGTCTGGGGGAGCTAGATCATTGAAAGAGTTTAGTTTAGTTTAGTTTAGTTTCCCCTTCATGGATCACTGCCTTGTCGTGGCGAAGGGGCTTGCATAACTCAGTGAAGCCATGAGCTATACCGTGCAGG